GATTTTTAGGCGAAAAATAAGCATATTTAAAATTTTTGGAAAATGGGCGTAGCCACGCCACTTATGATTACATGTATATATCTTGGTAACCGATCCACCCAAACTTGGCACATTTGTTGGCCTTAGTACAACATACAAAATGGCTGAAAATTTTTAAAATCGGACAATAACCACGCGCACATCCCATACAACGGTAATTTAGAGAAATACTAAATCTTCGATAAATCAGTAAATACAGAAGCTGATTTATTCAAAATTAATGCTTGTAATGTTCTTTAGCTAGAAATACGTTTATGATAAAATTTTGGAAAATGGGCGTAGTACCGCCCACTTATGATCACATATACATATGTATAGCAAAATCATACACGACTAGATTTTTATTTTAAGGGAGTTCACGATGAGTTGCATTTTAAATGTAAAGTTGCTACGTAGCAATCTAAAACGCGTTTTGTTGTTGGGAAAGCAACAAAACTTGTGCTGCATTGCTACGTAGCAACTCTCCTAAAATATTTTTATTTTTTTCTTCAACCTTTTGACAATTTATGCTGAAACCTAAGCATATTGTATTGTATATAATAGCAGTAGAAGAGATGTTTAATTTATTATATAAATATGTACATACTTATGAATATTTTCTTTATTTATTTGGGCTTTAAACATGAGAAAAAGCTTTTTTGTACAAACTGCATATTTTTTATTCGCTTGCACAGCGAGAAATACGAAAGCCTGTATAAATGGTGGTTAGTAGCGATTTTTATGTATTCTCCCTACGGTAGGTTGTAAACTTAGCCTAATACTGAAACTCGGCTGGCCGCCATATTAAAGCTGTATGGCTATTATTTAACTAATTTAACAATCTCATTATGTACATTGGCTCAACTAAGCCACTTTTTAGGTGTTTTAGACCCTTTTTTAAACAGCGCATCTCTTGAAAATTTAATAATGGCCAAAAAATCATTGCTTTCAAAATATACGTTTTTCAAGATTTATTTAAATATCCTCAAATCTCTAGACGGGGTAGGACCGAAATTCACTCGAGAGAATGTACCTCGTTTTTAAATTAGGAACTCACATTCATATTTATTCGAGATTTTCATGCCTGCATATTATGAAGAGGAATGCGAGATTGTTTTTTAAATAAATCTAGACCAAAGACTTCAATGTGACTGCAGAATATTTCACGAACACGCTCGGATGGTACATATGTTTGTGAACAACTAGAAAAAGATCTAGTGCCTTCGCATGATGGGGAAACCTTTCTAAGCTCCATTGGCCAGGCCACATTGGCGGTTTCCTTGTCTCTATATTATGACTTTTCCAGGTTTTGACAACCATGAAAATGACCGTACTATGCAAGTTTGAACTTATTATAATTCATAATAGCTACATATGTGGATATTAATTTATCAAACTCCAAGCCCGGGGGAAACACCCCTATCCTGCCAACTTTCGTCGAGCTTGCATGTATCAATGCATGAATTTATTGATGACTTCGATTTATCTCTTCAAGTGCTTGCCAACATAGCCATGTCGATTGACGCACCGATTGGCCACACGCAGTTGTTTCTGCTCTCTTGAGCCGATTTAAAGGTCACCTAAACAAAACCAGGCTGTAGGTACCAGCATTTTATTTTAAAAAAGTATTGAGAGTTTTGAGAAACGCTGCTGGGTGGCAATCCTTAGCCACATATAAATGTGGGAAGTTCTGGATTTTGCTTTACCTCATCACAAATTCTGGTTTGTATTGAATTAAATTTTCCTACGTTTGGTCACAAATTAATCATACTACTCATAATTTTGTGTATAAATTGTTTTTTGTGGTAAAATTTACCATGAATATTTTTAGTAAAATTTTGTAACTCCTTAAAGACGTTCATTAAAAAGGCAGTTAGAGCATTAAAGTGAGTTTGTTATACGACTTACAGATCTATCCTGCACGGACAAAAAAAAAATTGTAACCCGGTGAATGAAGTTCCTGTCTCACATATTTTTAATAGAATTTGTAAATTTTTCGGTATTAAAATGCTCGTTAACGTTCAGAACAATTATAATTTTGGGATATTTTTATAAAAATACATACGTATAATTATTTTAGTTTTTAATAAAGAATCGAATATGTAGTGATACCCGAAACAACGAAATCAAGTGATAAAAAAAAAACAATTATCTAAAAAAATAAATAATTATGTTACTTTTGCGTGTTTTTAAGTGTCTTTAAACGTATGTACATATGGATAGCTTATATTCAATACCTCCTGCCTACAAATTTCGCAAAAAATTATCCAATTAATTGAAAGACTATCCCTATGATATCGCTTCATATTCAGTTTGGTTTCCCCCTCACATGCCATGTGAGAACCTTTCAAAATTTAGAGGATACTTTAACTTATAAAGCTTGATTTTTGATGTAATAATAAATAATACTAGTGAATTTCAGTAGTAAATTTCAATAACTTAAAAAATATTGCAAATGTTGCTCAGAGTTATAAGAGATCCGAGTGCCATATTTCATCAAAACCGTTCAGCCGTTTCTGATTGAAGAGGAGTCTCGCATAGTGCATGTACCGATGAAAAAAGTTCTTAATTAAAAAAAATAAAACTTTATCATACATCTACAGGCTAAGGTCTCTAATTTGACCTCTCATTTTTAAAATTCCTTTTCAAAAGTATTCTCAAACTAAAAACTTCTTAAATCTCTAAACTGATGAACTAATTCGAATTTGATTGTTCGAATAAATGGCAACCCTCCTAAGTAAAGGTCTGGAATAAATCCCTTCCAAACCCATTTCGATTAATACCCATCTTTTAATAATTCATCCAACATACGTGACAACTCTCTTCAAACATTCAAAAATGTTCAAACTAAAGATTTTTTAACATTCTTTCGTTTGACTACGGTATTTTTATATTTCATATACTTTTTGAATTAGTTAATTGAGTTAGACCTTTCAAACAGGTGGCAGCTCTCTTCAAAAGTGTTTACAAGATTAATCATTATTAACTCTCCTTAGCCGGACACTGCGATACATATTTTAATTAACTGATGAATTAAGTGAAATTTTAATTTTCAAACATGTGGCAACCCCGATACTTATAATTCAGAAATAAAAATTTTGCAAACCCCCTGCGATTGATACCCATATTTTATAAAATAATTTGAATTAAATTTTTTAAACAGGTGGCAACCTTCTTCCAACACCTCAAAAATATTCTTAGCGTTCAAACTAAAGATTTATGAACACTCCTTCGTTTGACATCCATATTTTGATATTTCGTATAACTTGCGAATAAGTAAACTAAATTCGACATTTCAAGCAGGTAGCAACCCTCTTCAAAATATTTTTAAACTAATACTTTCTGAAACCCCTTTCGTTTGGCACCCATATGGTGATACATATTTCTCTTACCTAATATGATTTTTAAACAGGTGGCAACCCTCCTATAGTTCAGCTAAGAAACAAAACCATTTCGATTGATACCCAGTTTGTAATAACGGCAACTCTTTTCAAAAAAGTAAACCCTTATTGCACATCTACAGTCCAAGGCTTTTAGTTTGACGCCTCATTTTGGAAAATCGAACGAACGGTGCGGATTTGATGGCATTGATTATTAAGTAGTTTGAATTTAATTTTTCAACAGGTGGCAAGTCTTTTCGAAAAACTAAAACCAGTTTGCACATCTACATCTACAGAGCAAGCGCTTTAATTTGACAACTCAATTTTAAAAATCGGGCGAACGGTACAGATCTTTTATGCTGCACAAAAAATCCCTTCGCGTATTATATATATAGATACTTGTGCAACAATTTTTGGTCATCGCCGTTATCACTGACACGCTGCCGGGGTGATTAAATGCACTCGTTCAATCTTATACATATAAATATGTATGTACATATTTAACTTTTAATCACTAATCCGCATAATTATACACACAGGTTGTTTACTTCATTAATCGCCTCTATCAAAAAACACCAAATCGAATATTCAAGGAAAAATCGAATCTACACAGCTAATATGTATAAAAAAAATATTAGGATTGTATACATATACATATGTATGTACATATTTGTACATATATTTGCTTAAATTTGGTTTTTATTTTTGTTGTACTAAGTAAAAGTTTTTTGGGATATTTTTAAATAACAAAATCTGAATAAATATTCGTGCATATGTACATATGTATGTACCTATATTATACCCACACGCAACATTCCTAATATAATACGGACACGTGTGTGCTAGCGTATCATCATGTATTTATATATGTGCGTGTTTATGTACATATACACAACCACAGCGCCAAACAGAGTCGACACCAAAATTTCACTCATCGATACAAAAGACTTAAGCGACAAACTGGCTTATGAAATGCAATTTGGTATGATGGTCACAAAGAAAGTTACACATAAGAATGCATACGAAGGTGCATACATACATGAAATATGTATATACGAGTATCTATTTATGCATAAATTAATGATTTTAAATTATAGTGCTGCGATAATAGTCTAAAAGGGAGAAACACAAATACAAAAATATTTCGTAAAGACAATATATTGAATAAATACCAATGCATGGTATTCATATATCGACTTGAAAAATATGGAGAAAATAAGCGAATGTGGAATAAAGCAGAATATATAAATATTGCAGGGATTTGGTGGATTAGTTAATTGTGTTGGAGCTTCTGACTACCAATTTGAACTCACGTCGAAATTGATACATATTATATATTTATGTAGAGAAGAGTGCAGAATAGTTGAAAATAGAGCATACAAATTGGGGAAGAAGTTGATTATATAATGATTCTAGACACCTACATATTTATGAAGCATATACAAGTATATGAGTTAATAACTTGTTTTCGCACAACGACTGCATTGCTCTGATCGCACATATTGTAGATAACTATGTACATACATTGCTTGTATCAAATATCTATTTCCCCAAAGAATATTTTTAGCCTTGTTATTAATATCTGTTTCCTTTTATTTACAGAAAGATATTTCCAAAGGACTTGTTGCGTTTAAGTAATGATGCAGCATGCGAGCGTTTTGTACTGTCAGCGCGCCATTAGAAGTATGCGCGTCATCGGCCGAACAACTGTCACCAGGATCACGCTTTTTAGCACTAAGGTTAGTGTAAACGTCTGCATCGATATATGTATGTGTATTGATTTATAGTACTTCTGAGGAGAATGATGGCTCCATTTTTGATATTCTCTAGTTTACTTTACTAAATCAAATTATCGGCCATTACATTTAACTAATAGCTCTTAGCATCTAGCGAGCAAACTGTGCGATCTTAGGATATTATTACCGCGGCAGTAGCAGCCCTTATGGGCACAAAAAACTCGACTCATACAGTTGTTTTAGCGCCGCGTCTAGAGTCACTACAGCGATGTCGAATACCAACAATTACTCTCTGAAGAAGCTGTCGCGATGATAATGAGCTTGAATCAATTGCCAACATTCTGTTTCGCTGTGCGGGCGTACAGTCGAAGCGTCTCAAGTACTTGGGATCACGCTTCTTTAACAGTCTTGGATCTCCTCAGTTTCATTTAAAATAGCAATTGGTTCAGAAGGTTAATGCCATGAAATTACCAAAATTTCTCTCTGAATAAGAATTCTGATTAGGGGAATGCGTCTGCCCCTCATACTCACTGAAGATGGACAACTATATCTCCTAGTGAAAGTATGGAATATTCTGTACAAACCTTCCTAGCCTAACCAAACATAGAATCCGCCAAAAACTGTGTACCAAAAAACACGGTAAATAGATACCTTGAAGTTTTCAATATTGCAACAAAAACGCCAAAGTTCGTTTATAAGAAGTGAGGTGACTTTATTGTTTTTATCATGATACCATAGATATTCACGGGTATACTTGGGCTTATATTCAAGGTCCATTATATATTTCGATGAAACATATATTTATATATTTTCATATACATTTATAGAATACACACGACATGTAAACGTTGTAAAGTCTTATTTCAAACCTTACAATAAAGAATGTTGACATTAGTTTTATTTTTTCATCTACAAAACTTTAACTTTATTTAAAAAAAAGGGCAAGCTGTATTCCTTCTCGCTGTATTATATTTTATGCAATTTTTTAAGAATATACCTTCCGACTTACAATTTTATGAGTTAAGGCTGTTTACAACTATCAAGAAAAATCATAAGAAATATTTTTCGTTATTTCTGTTGCTCGAAAAAGTACTTCTGCTGTAAATTTTCTTGAAGAAATAAATATAAGAGCATATTTTTCTTGGGATCTGCAAACTGGTTTAAGAAATTTTGATAAAAGAAAATGCCTATTCCATTTCTTGTGAGTAATTTTATATGAAATTTCCGCTTTTCTTGAGAACTCTTATTTGAATCCCTAAATTTTTTGAGGTACATCAAATAAAGTAATTAATTTCGTTTTGGTCGTCGTTGTTTCCAAAAGGGTTTGTATATGACACATTTTGAAAAATTACACTGAAGCTGGCACATCACCGCAACCCGTTCTAAAATACAGCAAAGTTTAAGGTAAAATTCGAATATTCCAGATCGCTTTGTAAATAAACAAATGGCTCTTCGAGGCAAACTATGAACTGAAATCAAAGTTGCATATCTCTCTGTGAATATGTTAACACATTTTACAGATCTTTTAGTTTTGATTTGAGATAAGGAGGAATCATGACATATGGGTCAAGTTCATCCTCAACACTATTAACATTTTCCTTTTTCTCATATCATATCGCTACCTAAACGTGAAAAGGTGTCGAGTACATTTTTTGAAATTGTTCAGGAGAGACGAAAAATCGATGTAGTTTCGCATTATCTGTCATTCTGCATTGAAAACTAAATTTTGAAAAAAGTGGACTTGGCACCTTTTCACTTTTGGGTAGCGAAATGCTTATACTTTAAATTTGAGTTTGTGTATACTTTTAGAAGTATAATAATTTTCAAAGGCTAGGTTAGGTTAGGTTCTACGGTCTGTCCTCATTGTGATGTCCAGAAGAGTATTTTCTTGAAAACCTCTCCCTACATATCCTTAAACCATCCCGACCACGAATCCAGATAGTTATTCCAGTAAGCTGTCCAAATTCTCGAAGAAAAGATTCCCCAGTAATTCGATGCGCATTCCTTGAAGTATGGGATATTCACATATGGAGATCTTAACGGATTCCAGCTCTTTTCCCTCTTTACAGCTTCCCATTAGTAGAAGTTTTATGCTTCATTTAGTCGTGCACTCTGCTCGTCAAGCAATGGTCTGTCAGAACGATCGCAATACCCTCTTCCGAATAGGTCACCTGCTAATAATAACTAAGCAGGGCTCGTATTGTGTGGTGGTAACGCTTAACGTTACTTTACACGGCCGTATTACTTTCGCGGGGATACCATATTCATCGCGCCAAACAGGTCCCATTAAGGGTCCGCACTCTCTTTGTCAGGTGTTTACAAATCCTTTTGAATTTGATTCTTTCACTATGTTCGTAGCCGCACTTGTTTTGATTGTTAGCTGTTTTGCAAGAGCTATTGAACTCATTTCAAATAATTGCGTTTGGTGGACATAAGTGACAAAAAATATCTAAAAAGCAGGATACGAAAATAAACTGTACAAAACAATTCCCATTTGCTCATCGATCATCATATCATTTGTGGTTTTGTACAGTTTTGTACATAGTCAGAAACAAATTGTAAGATTCACTGTCATTTTCCCCA